CAACAATATAGAGAAGATCTAACACTATCTAGATAAACTAACCATTTAGATTATAAACTTAAGTTAATCTAAGCGGTTTATTATTTAGCAATAAAAGAAGGAGAAGGTCTGACAACTTTTGTAGCAGAGGCAAGGGACACAACTATAAAACAAAAAATAAGGGAAATGAATAAACGTATTAAGAAGAAGACCAGAACTGATGTGAAGCATCAAGATAAGAAAATACTTGGGTAAATGCATAATCGATAAAATGTATTAAGAATGAATTAAACACATAAGAAACTGACCAAATTTAATAGATCTTTTCATTTGAAGTTTGGCAGATAAAATAATAGAATTTCATTCAACAGATTTTATTTTTGCAACCTATATTATTGAGTTAATGACAGCCTATTGTATATTTATCAAATTTTAAATACCCTGAACATCTATGGTGTAGCATAACAGTTTTACAAATGAGCAATTTATTGAATGGATTATGCTACAGAACTAACAACACCGACATATTAAGTAGAGAAGCTGATAGTTTAATGAGAGATTTTTTTAAATATTGTTTATTAAATATTATTGATGTTTGGTTTTAAATATGACAATATTTTATGAAAGATTCCTTTCTTGTCTGACTTTACCAGGTGATTACCAGATACAGAGATCATCTAGGTCATATTTAAAAAATCTAGAAAACACTATGCAAAAAAAAAAAAAAAAAATCAGGAATTTATTTCACTTATATTTGTCTTAATTTAACTTTAAACTCATGGCTTCCTTAACTTTTTTAAAATTTTTTTCGTATAAATAATGAATGAAAAAAGTTTAAAAACATATGCAAATAATTATACATAAATTTGTATTTAAGGATAAACTTTAAAATATCCTAAAAGACTGAAAGTTAAAAGAAATGTTTGAAATTCTGGATATATCCAGAAAAAGCTAATACTTGCAGATAACATAGTTATTCTGAGTCTATTCAAGTCATTTAATGAATGCCACCCAATAAATTTATTTTAGAAATTTTTGCAATTAACACATGATAAGCCACCATCAGAATCACAATAAATTAGAGGATAGTAATCAATTTTAACAAAGAACTTACAGTCAGAAAATCAATACGGTTTTCGATCCTCTTGCTCAACAGCTGACTTGCTGACTACTATGACTGAAAAATTTATCGTGCATTATATGGAGGCGGAGAGACAAGGGCTATTACTCTTGACATATCTAAGACTTATGACAAAGTTTGGCATGATGGTCTTCTCCATAAGCTTGTTTCATATGGTGTATCTGGGAAAATTTTTAAAATTATTAAATCATTTCGTTCTAACCGCTTTATTAAAGTCATCCTCAAAGGCCAACACTCTTCTTTATTTCAAGTTACTTCTAAGATACCTCAAGGATTTATACTTGGTTCTGTTTTGTTTCTCCATTAATAATCTTCCCAACAACCTTATATCTAAAGTTCTTTTTGCTGATGACTTAACTTTATACTCCTGTCTTGAAAAAAAGTCTTCTCTTTTCGATTGCTTAGAACAGGCAGCCAATCTTGAATCTGATCTCACTTCTGTAGCAGCTTGGGGTCACAGTGACTTGTAAACTTTAACTCCAACAAAACTTAATTGTTTAATGCAAACAACTATCGCAGTACTGTCGACAATCCTACAATAATGAATGGCTACCCTCTCACTGAGTCCTTTTCTTTACGCCTTCTTAGATTATCATTTACTACTGACCATTCATGGAAACCATATTTACAATCAATCATTAAATTAACATCTGCTAAGGTTGCTCCTTTTTTCTGTGCTTGCAATTATCTCTCTCCTAATTCCATTCTCACACCTCTACAAATCTTTTATTTGTCCCTGTATGGAATACTGCAGTCATATTTGGGCTGGTTTTTTTCTAATGATGCTCTTTCTCTTCTAGACAAGGTCCAAAAACTCATTGTAAACGTAGTTGTCCCGCCCTATTTGCTAAGCTGGAACTTCTTTCCCATCGTTGTCAAGTTACATCTCTTTTATACAATTATCATCATGGTAGCTGCTCAAAGGAGCTATCATCTCTAGTTCCATCAACTAAAACTCATTCTTACTCGACTCATTATTCAGCCAAGTCTAATTTTTTTACTGTATCTGTCCCAGCATGCTCCAAAAAATTTTATTTGAGTTTTTTTCCCCACACCTCGACTCTTTGGAACTCTCTCACATCTTCATGTCTTCTGTCAACCATTTTGTTGCTCTATAACTCTATTGTTTTTTTCTAGTAACTCCCAACTTAATAGTGATTGCTTGCAGCCTTGTTGGGAGTCAATCAGAATAAAAAATAAAAAAATATATATATAATCACGAAATAACTAATTTTTGGCTTTAGCATTATTTTTTAACAAACAGAGCATCCTTTTACTGGAATTGACTACCTACTGATATTGTTAATGCCATGTGAACTCTTTTAAAGTTAAACTTAACATATGGAATTTAAATAATGTAACTATGCTGAATAATGATTTAGTTGTCAATGTTTTATTGGACTCATCGAATTATTGGTCACAGTTCAAATATAAATACTATTTTTATTAAGCAAATTATTTTTTTGAAATGACAAGAATATTTATGTTATTTTTGATTGTAATAAAAATAATTTACTTAAATTTCTATTTAATAATAAAAAAATATATTAATAATGAAAAAAAAAGTTAAATTTTATTATATCTTTATTTAATATTATAATATTTTATTTTCAGTTTTTTATATTTTTTATTGTAATGATTGATTTTTTCGCATGAACTAAAAAATGCCAATACTTTAAGCTTGAAGTAAAGATGATAATAATATAATTTAATTCTGATAAAAAATATATGATTTAGTTTAAAACTAATTTAAATTAAATAATAATTTTATTCTAATAAAATTA